TAAAAATTTCGGAAATGATTTAGGGGACGTCGAGAAGAAGGGGTGAGGCGGCGGGGAAGGAGACAAGGTGGAGGGGGGAAGGAGGGAGGCGGATTAGAGAAGAAGGAGGGAAGGAGCATTTTACACAGAATGTGCTGTTTTTGCTCATATTAGGGCGACTTATCGGCTTGATCAAAGCATATGCTTTGATGAGCTTTTGTTGCGTCTTTTTTTGGTTTGTCGCATCCCCGTAACACCATGCAGGCATCCAGATGGGTCCTTTCATTTATGCTTTTAGCATCGTACAGGTGTCATTCGATAATCCACTTTGTCCGTCTGTTTTCTCTCGTTCGAGTCTTGGGACTCAGCTAACTTTTCCTTTTGTTCTATACTTTTTTGATTACACTGTTTGCACTAGACCGTAACAGCAGTATTTTACCGGGGATGAGCTGCAGTGGAAAGGAGCTTGCAGATAGACTGGCAGTGATAAAAGCGGAAAGAGGGATTTCAAAAATTTTAAATGGTGCCAACAGATCTCATGTTTCTGCAAGTCAGATCTTACCTTACAGATCTGGCCTTCTCCGCCTGTTTGTCTTCTGACTTGTCGAAAGTGGTCAACTTTTTGTTGATGGTCATGGTTTTTTTTTCGTTTTTTCTAGAGAGGGAAGAAACGAGGGAGGGAAATTGCTGAATGTATCGTATTCACTTTAGAGCAGTGTAGCAGCAGTGACCGGTTCGGGGTTGTTTTCTTATTTTCAAAATGACCAAACGAATTGCAGGGATCCGTATCGTAATTTGACAGAAGCGTGCCTGCTATTTGGTATGACATTCTTAACAAGGGATCCATTGTTGGCCGAATGGAATAGTCATCGGGAAGACCGCGGGCAGCTGAGAGCAATTGTGCGACAGATAGCGAAAGATTGCCAAAGTCGTTTTGGCAACACAGCAAATTTGCATATTTTGTTCCTCATGCAGAAGAAACACGCAGCAACATACGGTTAGCAGTAGGATTTTTAAGAGAGACGAAGATTAAAAAAAAAACAAAAACGAAGATTCAGAGAACCATGGAATTCGGAGGCGTGCTGAAAATCGAGA